ATATATATATATATATATATAAAACCAGCCTGATGTTTTTTGAGACAACAGGTGTTTTGTTTTGATAGAAGAGCAGGGTGTCCTGTTATGATGCTGCAGTGTTTGTTTTTTTTAATGCAATCCCGAGGTGGAGTTTATTTATTGAGGTTTTGTTAAGTTGCTGTTAAATGGAATCCACAGAATTCAGTTGCCACAGGATAATCTGTGTTGGAGATGGTTTTAATGGTGTAGCTGTGCTCAGTTATTATTTTTTAAGAATACTTTTTGCTGTGAACGATCACAACAAAATGAATAGATTTCCTTGTCAGGTTCAGGGTTTCACCTTGCATGTTGTGGGGGTGGGATTGGTCTTTTGTTCATTGAATAAACAGYGGCAAGCAGGCTGATTTCAAATTAAAAGCCTCTCCCCAATTCCCACAAACATGACTCCATTCAACCCATCTCCAAACACTACCTCTACTTTTTATCTGATTCATTCATTTTCACCTGACTCCAGATTCCCCTCGTCCACAAAGCCTTTGTTTTTGTTCCTGTTGAGCTTCGTGTTTCTGCTGAGTRATGAAAGGTACAGCACTCAAGCTCAGATTAGGATCATAATGATAATTGTTCTGATGAAACTGCCAGTCCTTCATAATGTAAAGATCCCATAATGTGGGATAACTACCAGGTTTACCTGTRGCTGACAGCGATCGACAACTTCATCACACCTGAGCTGCAGATCAGAGGTGGTGGTCCTGTGAGTGTGGTGGTGGGAGAACGGCTGCAGGGGAGCGGCTGTAAGACGGGATGAAAAAAAGAACCTTACCAAGTAACGTCGTGAAACGAAAACCGAGGCAGTAAAATTTAATAAAACATTTATTTATTCCACTCAGAAAATCTGGACCTGCCTCTTCCAAAAACTTTTGCACTTTTCTCTTTTAACTGCATTTTATTTTATTCTATTTTTTATTTATTTATTTTTATCATCATCTGAAAGAAGGATCTCCTGCAGCGTTTGTGCTCACACTGCAGCGTCCCACCATCACCGGGCACCGAGCTGGTCCTTTTTTAAACAATCCATGAATGTGAACTGTCTGTGAATAAAAACGTCTCTTTTTATTTGCACGACATGGTGTAGACACTGCCACAGCACGTTGATAGGAATCTGAAAATGAAAGGATTCTTTTCTTTTTATTATTGTAAGAAGGATGAGAGCTGGTGCTACATGGAAGTGAGGGTCTGGTGACGTGTGTAACACAGGTTGCTGTGCTTTTTATTTGATTGTTTTCATTCTTATTTTAGCCCACCCCTCCTTAGTTCTCAGTCTGCATCTGTTGTATTCTTCTTTTCTCTGAGGCTTTCCTGCTGCGGCCCAGTAATCATTTGGTGTGCGTGTGTGCGTGTTTGAGAGTGCGACTGTGTGAGTGTGTCTCTTATGGAGGAGACTGGTGCCAAGCAGTTCATCACAGGTCTCTCTCAAAGGGATCAGTTGTTTTGGCTTGATTTTTTTTCCCCTCTTTCTTTTTTCTGTGTTTGATCAGCACTTTGAACCTTCTAATGTCTGTCAGAGGAGTGTGTAGCTGTACATAGCTATTTCCTGTAACAAGTGCTCCTTGTCCAGTCTGAATTTTTTGTTTTGTCAGATTTACTTTACAGAGCATTACCTTGTTGTAGAATTAAAGGAAAAATAAATTAGGTAAACCTACCTTGTGTGTGTGTGTGTTTGTCTATGTCATATGGGATTTTACAAAGTCTTGAAAATCTGGAATTTGGTGTATTTTCCATGAACAGGAGACAGAAAAACACAAAAAGAAAAAACACACAAATGCATGTAAAAGAAAGATTAAAAAAAAAACAGTCAAATTTAAATTTTATAATTTAAAATA